TATATATATATTAGTTTAAAAAATCGTAAAAATGAAAAAATTACTTAAAATGACTTGGAAAATATTTTGAATTTTATAAAGTCAATTATTTCAAATCGTTGAAAATTTAAGAAGCTCGATAATTAATTTATATTGTGGAGGGCCAAAATTGGTGTCAACACTTCCTATTCTGGAAAAACTGGTTGCTGACTCAACCTCCCCTCGGGTCTACGCACTCTTTGTCTTTATTTTTAGCATCAGCGGTTGAAAGAGAGCATGAGCCCTTTCTATTTTTATCTATCTCAGAAAGAAAGTCTCAACCTTTTATACGAAAGTAGACCCCACCTTTCAATCCACAAGATCAAATAAATGTGCATTCTCTTTTGTATGTGTACCAAAATCAACTTCTAGTTTATAAGTCAATCATTGAATACATAAATTTTGATTATTGTTCTTCTTGTAATATGAAAATTTGTATGTTATTTCTCTTGCCATATGATTTTATACCAAGGTCCTTTAAAACAAAGAAAACATTTCAACTAAGAATTGTTGGGTATTTCTCAAAAAGACAAAAATCCTCCAAAAATTGGCGTATGCCACTATTTGCAACGCACACACAATATTCTTTAGTAAAAGGCGAAAGAATAGTTCGCAATGTGCTCATTGTGTGGCTGCGTGATTTGACTGATCGACTGAATGCCCCGAAGATCAAGAAGATGAACTAGTAAATGAGGATGATGATCTTATTTGGGGTAGTGTTGTTACGGCAATTGGAGCTGACGAGAGTATCTATCATCTTAGGAGACTTTCTTCAAGATCAAGAGCATTTGACAAGAGCAAAGGAGTAGAAACTACATCTACAATTTCAACTTCAAGTAGGACTCGGACACTAATTGATGAAGAATCTGAGGAGGAAGATGATGAGGAGCAATATAATCATGATGTAGAAGATGTTGATCTTCAATAGTTGGATAACTTTGAAGAAGAATAGACTTTTAGAGTTCTAGTATTATCTTTTGAATTATTGGACTTTTAGTATCTACTATTAGTTTTTGAATTGAAATATTTGCTAATATATGTTATTGCTTTTGAGATTTTGAATACTTATATATGCAATTAAATATTTTTAATTTTTGGTATTAATTGACGCCTCGATTCAAAAAGGCGAGCGGCGAAGCCCCTGTCGCCTTTCGTCGTCCAAAACACTGTCATATGATTTTATATCAAGGTCCTTTAAAACAAAGAAACATTTCAACTAAGAATTGTTGGGTATTTCTCAAAAAGAGAAAAACCCTCCAAAAATTGACATATGCCACTATTTGGGACGCGCACGGTATTCTTTAGTAAAAGGCGAAAGAATAGTTCGTTATGTGCGTGATTTGACTGATTGGCTGGAGCCAACTTTAAATACGGGCCAAAACTGTTCATTTTACAGCTTGTGTCCGATGTGAGATAAATTTTGCTAACAATTGTACAACATTGGTGACGTTTTTTGGTACATTTTGATTTACTTTTCTTTCTTATCATGTGTTATTTTTTTCTTTTAATAGAAAAATTTTAGTATTTAAATTCAACAAGCCGGACAAATTTACTGCTTTTAATTTAATTGTAAGCTTGGATCAAGTGATAATCTCTATTTTTGTTATTTCTTTTGACATTAAGTTTGAATTTTTGAACACACAGATTAGTAGATTACCAACTTCCGTAAAATACGACTGTTGTTTTGTTTCAATTTATTTGTCTTAGTTTAACTCGACACGAAATTTAAGAAGATAAAAAAAAATTGAATCTTCTAATCTTAAATTTAAAATGTGTGTAATGTATATATCAAGATGTCCATCTTAAACGTATCATATGAGATTTTTAAATTAAAAATAGACAAATTAGGGGGGATTCCTTTTGAACCAAAAGAAATAGACAAACAAATTGTAATAGAGTGAGTACCAAAACGAAAAACAAGAAGAAAGGGACAATAAACTAAAGATAGCACGGGAACAACGGGAATTAGAAATTGAATAAGTTCACGTAGTCAAACAACTGAGCTACTACGATTCTCTACTATTAGCATAGCTTAGTGCAGAAACATCTTCGGCGCCAGCCAATGCAGTCTCCGCCAGAGAAGCCTTCGTTGCGGCAAATGATAGCACAATTGTGGTCAAGGACGCATGGGCCGCGGTACCGATGGCTTTGTGAGATGCACACTCTTCCCTCCACTTGTCGGATTCCTATTTCTACATGCACAAAATTCGAAAGTCTAAAATTAAAGTTTTTTAGATGTCGATGTACGTATAAGTTAAATTTTTAAATAACAATAATAATAATAATAATAACATATTCAGTAAAATTGGAGAGGATACAATATACACAGATCTTATTTTTTACCTTTGTAAGGTAAAGAAATTGTTCTTGATAGACCTTGACTCAAAAAAGAAGTTTTCATCACAAGTAAAATATGAGGAAACAAC